TGTTAGAAATGGCAGATGCAGGGCATTCATTTCCCTTCCTCTTCCATAGAGGAGAACACTGGTTGATCATGGCACTATTTTCTTCTCGGTACAGATTTGGCCTCTGAATCCTTCTTAGCACAGCCCTCCAGGTAGTCACTACTAATTGATTTGACTTGACACAGGTCATGAAACCCTTATTCTTATTTAAAACAAACTTTCTGTGGCATTTTTATACCTTCTCACTGAGTGATGACAAATCAAAAAAGTCTACTTCTAGTTAAAAAAGCAAAAACCTTTCAGAGTGAGATGTTTATGTGTATGGATGTAATGATGCACATGAGTAAATATGGATACGAAGCATATGCATTTCAAGCAGGTAGATTCCAGCATGTTATATTTATTTTTAATCTGAAGCTCTGTTTTACACATTCATAAACACATGAAAATCAAATCATGATTTACCCTGCCAACTGAAACTTTAAAATGTTATGAATTGTGTTTTGAACCTACTATACAGCCACAGTAGTCAAAACTGCCTGGTTTTGGTACAATGACAGACACATACACCAGTGGAATAGAATTGAGAACCTGGAAATAGATCCATCCACCTATGGTCAGCTGATCTTTGACAAAGGGCCGAAATCCATTAAACAGGGAAGAGAATGTCTATTTAACAAATGTTGCTGGCAAAACTGGATATCCATTTGCAGAAAAATGAAACAAGATCTGTACCTCACACCATATACAAAAACTAACTCCAGATGGATCAAAGACTAAAACTATAAAATGCCTCAAGGAAAAACTAGGGGCAAATTCAGGGGCCCTATTAATGGCATGGGAGCTCTGGTAGCATAGTGCCTAACACACTTGACTGCTAACCAGAAGGCTGGCGGTTCAAACCCACCAGCCACTCCTTGGAAGGAAGGTTGGGCAATCCTACTTCCATAGTGATACTGCCTCCGAAACCCAAGGAGGGGTCGCTATGAGTCGGGGCCGACTCGACGGCATATAACAACAACAACAACAATTAATGGCATAAATAGACTATCAGGAACAACCCAAAATGCACAAACAGCAGAAAAGAAACTAGATGAATGGGACCTTCTAAACATTAAATTTTATGTGCTTCCAAAAACTTCTCCAGAAGAGTAAAAAGAGAACCTACAGATTGGGAAAAAATATTTGGCAAAAACATATCTGACAAGAGACTTATCTCTAAAATTTATAGAAAACTCCAACATCTTGACAACAAAAAGACAAATAATCCAGTAAAAAAATGGGCAGAAGACATGAATAGACACTTCACCAAAGAGGATATTCAGGCGGCCAACAAACACACATGTGAAGAAATGTTCACGATCATTACCCATTACAGAGATGCAAATCAAAAAACAACAATGAGATATCATCTTGCCCTAGTACTAGTAGCAAAGTTCAATAAGACAGAAAATAACAAATGCTGGCCAGGATGTGGAGAGACTGGGACTGTCATACACTGCTGGTAGGACTGTCAAATGATACAACCACTATGGAAAGCAGTATGATGATTCCTTAAAAAGCTAGAATTAGAAATACCATTTGATCCAGCAATTCCATTACCAGGTATATATCCTAGAGAAGTGAGAGTCAGGGCAAGAACAGACATATGCACCCATGTTCATCACAGCACTATTTACAATAGCAAAAAGCAAAAAGATAGAAACAACCTAGGTGTCCATCAACAGAAGAATGGATAAGCAAACTATGGTACATACACACAATGGAATACTATGCAACCCTAAAGAATAATGAAGAATTGGCAAAACACTGCATAACATGGATGAACTTGGAGGACATTGTGCTGAGTGAAATAAGTCAATCACAGGACAAATATTGTATTATTCCATTATTGTAAAAAGTCAAGGAAAGGTTTATATATGGAAGGAGATTTTTTTTGCTGGTTACCACGGATGGGAGGGGAGGGCAGGGAACACTGCTAAATAGGTAGAGACAAATATTGATTTGGGCAAAGGAAAGGGCAATGTACCAAATGTGAGTGATCAACACAATGGCACTGAAGAAGAGGAAGACATAGAGAGAGGTGCATGTGAGGTATAGACAACAAAGATGAACTTTTTTGCACGTATAGTACTGCACTGTCAGTGATGGCAAACATCGATCTATGGATAGATGGGTAGACAGGCTGAACAATTAGGTGTGTCTATGCAGGGGGCAGTGTGCCCATGACCATGTATAGGGTTGCCAGACAATGTTTCTACAAGTGTATTTGTATATTCTGTAAGAATTTCCAGGTATATAGTAGAACTGACAAGAACAAGTTTGTAGTCACTTCTTGGCCACAACCAGCTACCAAGAGGGAGAAAGTAGTTGGCTCTGTGGGCTCAGGACCATGGTCACAGGGGACACCAATCTCAATTTCCATAATATACTACACAAAAATATTGTTCCACAACCTACTTTGGCGAGTAGCACCTGGGATCTTAAAAGCTTGCAAGTGGTCATCTCAATAAAACGATGGGTCTGTCCTCATCCAGAGCAAAGGAGAATGAAGAAAACCAAAGATGCTTGGAAACAATTAGTCCAAGGGACTGGTACACCATGCAACCTTCAGCCTATATGACTATGAGACCAGAAGAACTAGATGGTGCCCAGCTACTACTGTCAACCACTTGGACTGGAATCTATGTAGGAGATCCTGGATAGAGTGGGAGAATAATGTGAAACAAAACTCAAAATCATTAAAAAAAAAGGCGGGGAGGGGGGACGAGGTTCGCTGGTCTGATTGAACCTGATGGAACCCTTGAGACCATGGCCCCTAACTGCCCTTCAGATCTGGAATTGAACCCACTCCTGTAGCTTCCAGCTCAACAAAAGACAGATATATGAGCTGAACATTTACATACACACCTTGGAGAGATCAATCATGGGAGACTAGAAAGGCTGTGTATGTACAGGCAGACAGCTTAGGGGGCAGGAATGCATAGAAAGGAAGGACACAGGGAAGAGGTAGCTATGGGGAGGAAGTGGGAAGAGAGCTATTGCATTGTGGGAGATTACAGTCAATGTCATGAGTCAAAGTGTATGTGAGCTGCTGTATGGAAAGTGAATTTGCTCTGTAAACTCTCACCCAAATAAAAATATATATATAAATTTTAAAAGGAATTGTGTTTTGAGTTAAAACAGCCCACGTGAAACAACAGCCTGTTCAAATAATCAGAGATTTCTTCTTCCTTCCTCTATTTTTATGATACAATATTACATCCAAAATCTTAAATAGTAGGTTGAAACACTAAATAGGTTCTTCTTCCCTGTAGATCACACACCTTAGAAAAGGACATACAAATAGTGTGATTTAACATAATAGTATTGTTAATGATCAGGCCCTAGTGATCCTTGGGGGGAAAAAATGAGATTTTATCAATGGCAGTAAAAAAGAAACTATTCATTGCCAGTTTTAGGTTAAAAAAAAAAAAAACAGTTTTAAAAAAGAAAGGGGGGGATGGTGTGTGACAAGTTGCATTGGTTTCCATTACTTCTTGCATGAACTCATTAATTTCACCCTGCTTCTGTGCATCAAAGGTCTTTGCCTATTCATGTAAAGAACCACTTGAAGGCATACAATGTCCTCAGATTTTTCTCTAGTCCAGGAAACACTCAGAGCTTTCTTTGAACTATTCTTTTTGAACGTCCTAGTAAGTTATTCACATTCTGCCAAACAGTTCATAATGCTCTGGGGAGGAGAGGCAGTGAGTTGCGGCTAGGGCTTACCCGTTTTATGACTCTCTTATGAATTAACAACAACAACAAAAAGATGCTCATTAGTCTAGGCTGGCTTCACTAGATAAAAAAAGGAGGGGAGTGAGGCTGTGGGTTGGAAGGGGAGGGAGCAAGTGATCTTTCAAGAATTTTTGCAGCCTGAGAGTCTATTGACCCAGATGAATGAACCACCATCACCTCTCTTGCAATAGACAACTGCCTGGGTTCCTGCATTAATGCTGGTTCCCTCTACTGCAAGTAGAGTGATCTTTTCAAAACACATATCTAACCATGTTTCCCCATGCCTTCCTCTCCATGGCCTAACAAAGATCTATAGGGTCTGGCCCCTAGCTACCTCTCTGGCAGCATATGGCACCACATTTCCCTTGTTCTCTGTACTCCAGCTCCACTGGCCTGCTGTCAATTCCTCCTTGCATTTGTTTACCGCAGGCCTTTGCAGAAGCCGTTCACTCTGACTAGAAAGCTCTGCTCTCTTAACCTCCATGCCCTTTATTCAACTTTTATGATATCACATCAAATGCCACGCTTGCTCTCAGGAAGGACTACTCTGATTCTGACCCCATAAACTGGTTCAAGTCCCTCTGGAATCTGTTCTCAAAGCACCTTTTCCTTCTCTGCATTTTGAACTATGTGTAATGATATATTTGTGTGGTGATTTAACGATCTATTGTCCCACTAAACTGTAAGCTCTGTAGGACTATAACAATGACCATTTTCCTTTCCACTCTGCCACAGTACCTTGCGCACACACACTGTGAGCATGTGACAAATATGTATTGGCTCAATGAATTAATATGTTGTGCATATACTGCTTTGTTGATGTATTCATAACAGTTGCACATAAATATCTTGAAACAAAGTTGTTGAACACAAATATTAATATCAAATATTGTTGAAAACCAAATATTATGTAGAAAACACAATAAAAACCTATATATTAAACTCTCTGTACATTACAGTTATGATGCCAGTTGTAACTAAGCTCTCTAAGGTGAATACCTAAAGCCTCCAGAAAGAAGACTGTTTCTTTCATTTCCTTTGGTTTTCTGCTTTGAAGGAACTAGAATCTTTGTTACGACTGCCAAATAAAAAGTGCAGTGAAGTCATTCTGTTTGAAAAATGTACAAAGTGTCTGTCTTCTAGAACCTTCTAAGGAAACCAGATTCCTTTGAAGTTGGCCAAAATGAAATCAGTGAGAACAACCTTCTGGAAGATGAACTGTGTAGAAACATTAAACTTACGTTGGTTTAGAAGCCTCGGCCTGGTCAGTCTGTAGTTTCTCTCCTCCTTCCACTTCCATTGTGCAATACACAATGCGATTTGGAGCTAAGGATTTGAGGCCTTGGACTTCCATGATCACCACCTGGAAACAAAATCACACACAGTAGTGAAGGTTATTGCTAAAGCCCATGCACAGCATCAACCAGAGGAAAATACACAGATGTGAAGAAGTTACAAAGTAGCCGACAGGTATCTACTGGGTTCTATGGGGTTTCTACCAGTCATACTGGGGCCAGTCTTGCATGAAGATGCAAGTTCTCATAGTGTAGCCTATTGCCTCCCAGAAGAAAAGACAAAGCTCTCTAGTTCAGATGGTCACATGGGCCAGACAGGGAAAGTGAAATGGGCTATTCTTTCCTATACTAAACATATAGGATCACTTTTCATTTCTTCTACTTTTCTTTTAAAATAGTCTAGCTTTTGATTTAGCATTTAGCAGAAACATGGTCCAAGAATAAACTTACTTTTCCCTTTATAATAAGCTAAGGGACAGTGCAAGTGCCAAGATAAAGGGCATATAGTAATCAGCATTAGTGTTAGAGATGCAATAGGGAATAGTGGGGACTGTGGCAAACTAGAGAGCACATGCTCCATATAAAGAAGTGGTTACTACTCAGTTGTAACTCATTGCTGTGTTATCTTCTCTGAGGCCAGAGTTGCCAGATACTCTAATTTTTCTATGAGAAGATGTAAGTCTAAATCAGAATTAAATCAGAAATCTGATTATGGTAATTAACTTTGTGTGTCAACTTGGCTGGGCCTGGTTGAGTGGCTGGGCAGCTGGATGTAGTATTCCCCATGATAAGGTAATCAGGTCCATGGTGGAATTCACTGTGAGCAGCTGAGTAGCTGCCTTAGGGAATGTGGTCTGCTTCCTGTATATAAGGAGAAGTCTAGCTTATGGCACGCTTGAACCCTGCACGTAGCCATGTCATTGCTTAGCAGCCTGCCATGCTCTGCCGACCTTGGGACTTTCAGTGGACTTGAATGAATGGCCTGCCGTGTGGTTTGGTAACATTGGGACTGTGCCTTTTTAGTTGTCAACCTTGGGCTTGTCAGCCTTAGCTGCCAGCAGCTGTCTGAGTGAAGAAAAGCCTCTGGCTTCAGTGGGCAGGGAGCAGGAGGCAGAGGTGAAGTCCAAGGTTGAGGGGCTTTCACCCAGGCCCTAGAGCCTGGCACTTTGGACTCAGACTTAAAGCCTCCAAACTAAGAGAATAAACTCCTGTTTCTTCAAGCCATCCCATTTGTGGTATATTCTTGTCAAAGCAGCGCTAGGTAACTAGAACACTGATTTTGAAATTTTCACAATGAACTCAAATAAGGAAGAATAAAATACTCCAACTCTGTGTAAGGCAACACTGTTGGATCAAAAGAAAACCATGTCTTCACTTGCATATTTTCTGGTCTAGACTGAGGGAAAGGGCTGGCACTTCTCACTAGTACCCCACACTCCACATAATCACCTGCAATTCTAATCAACAATGGTACACCCTATTACTGAGAGAGAGACAGATAGAGGAAAGATTGATTGAGACTGATTTTAACATACAAAACAAATGACATATCAGAGATCTACAAGGAACAAGGTATATGAAAAATTACTCAGTCATACTCTAAAGAAAGAGGTAATAGCAGCACAGAAACAGAAGTATTTGGATGTGCAATAAATACATGTTTCCTTAATTGACTTGATTCAAGGAAGTGCAATATGGGTAGCATTGAACCAGGATTCAAAACTCAAATTTGCTACTTAATAGCCCAATGGTTCTCAAACTTTAGTGTGAATCAGCATTCCTTGAGGGGCTTGTTATAACACAGATTTCTGGACTCTGCCTCAGAGTTTCTGATTCAGTAGGTCTAAGACTTTGAATTTCTAACAGTTTTCCTGGTGATGCTGATGCTGCTGGTCTAGGAACCATACTTTCAGAACCATTGTATTAATTATGCAATGTTGGGCAATGACTTCACCTTGAGACTTTTTTCTTTCTAATCTCTTAAGCCTCAGTTTTATTATCTGTAAAGTGGGGGTGATGATATGCGTCCTCTTTCTCTTTCTCTCTGGTTATTTTGAGAGGATCAAATGAGATAATACATGCAACTGGAAATTTTTACACTGAGAAGAACCATACAAACGGAAAGAAATGAGAGGAAGAATGAAAAGAACACAAGTTTTGGAGTTTAAAAGATCTGAGTTGAAATCCTGAAATGGCATTTTCACTAGCTGTGCAATCTTTTGCAAGTTTCTTAACCTCTCTGAGGCTTTGTTTCCATGTTTGCAAATGCTTCAAAAGACTTTGCGAGGATTCACTGAGTTAATATCAGTAAAGCATCTGGCATATAGACTGTTCTAAGAATGCCCACTGCATTTCCTCAGAGCACTCCCCTACCTTTGCCCAAGGCCATGTCACCTGGCATTGTGGATCTCTCAGCTCCCTGGCTGCAAAGTTAACTGCTCTCTAGTGTGCCTTCCAGCCAAGTAATTCTACAATTATAGAAAGTATGCCTTGCACCAATCTGCAAGTTCAAATCCTAGACTGCCTGGATGAGATGGCAATCATCTCTCCCCACCTTTTTACTTCCTGAAACATGTTCACAAATAGATACACAATGACTTCTGTTGGCAGTTTTAGTACGATGTGCAATTTGGTGTTCTTCCAACTAAAACGTATTTGGGAGCCCTAGGGCATTTCATTCTGTACCTGTACTGAGAAGTTAAAGCCTGTTTGAATCATGTTCACAGGAGAGTGGTTGGGTTTGCCCACATCTATATCTCAGATAATCAACTGTATAATATTGAGTACCGATAAAGAATTAGAAAATTACAGATTTAAAAGCTTCATGAAAATCAATAGACCACTTTTTTCCTCCTTCTGCGGGAAGAGGCAGTAGGGAATAAATTGCCACCTCTAATTGGCAATAATCAAATTCAAAGACACCTAAGAAAAAGCCTTCAATACCTCAGGTGGCAGTATTAAAAAAAGAAAAAGTTTCTGTGAAATTACACTGATGATTTTTTCACACACCAAGTGCTCTATATTTAATTGAATACTGCCTCTTCCAACTGCAAAATACATGTTGAAAACACTGTATTGTGACTATCTTGTTCTGAATTGAGCCCAGAAAAACAAATTACCAACAGTTGATTCAAAGCAAGCTGTAATGACATTCTAGAAAATTAATTTAGTCTTTACAAATTCTAATTAAATCTACAGAAATTTGATCAATATATTCTTCTGGTCTTGCCAAATAGAGGGCCATAATAAAATTCCTCTTGTAATTTTGAGTTTTAGTAAGTTGTTAGTGGATTTCAAACTTTAGAGTGCATAAGAAGTACCTGGTTACCTCATTAAAATGAAGATTCCAAGGCTACACCCTGCTTGGATATGCTGGTTTTTTTTCCCCTGACCAACTTTGTTGTTGTTGTTGTTGTTGTTTGCCGTCGAGTCGGCCCCGACTCATAGCGACCCCTCCTTGGGTTTCTGAGGCAGTATCACTACGGAAGTAGGA